TCAGATATGTATATATAACTATATATATATATATATATATATATATAAATACATGCACAAGATTTGTATATATAAAATATAAATATAATGTATACATAAGATTGTGATATTATAATGTGTGTGTATATATAAGAAATATATACACACACATATGTGCCCCCCTTCTCTTTTTACACACCTCAGTGTGTATATATGTATAAACACACATTATCTAGATCACTGTCATATATTCATATGTCTTAGATCGGGGAAACAAAACAGCCACTGGCCAAAAGGATGGCCCAGCACAGAAGATCAACATCATCAGGCCAGGACTCTGCGGTCTACACTCATCTCCAGGCCAGCGGTCACTCTTTCAGGGATGAAGATGTTCACATCCTGGACAGAGAGGAACGATGGTTTGAGAGAGGAGTAAAGGAGGCCATCTTTGTGAAAAGAAATCGTCCATCATTAAACAGGGGTGGAGGCCTACGTGTTCAACTGTCCCCCTCTTACAATGCTGTGATTGCTAGTATCACTCAGCCCTCTGTGAACAGTAAACAGCCATCAGTGTGCTAATGATCCATTGTTATGCTGATGGTCCTTCTTGAGCATGTGATCAGCTGGTTTTGGTTGTCAGCAGCAAAACTGGTTGATCCACCCTGAGACGGTGCTATTTAAGAGACTGAGCTGAATACAGCTCCTCAGACTGAGGAAGTCTCTCGGATGAGAGACAAAACGTTTCTACATTTTTTTGTTGATTTGCTTTGTTTTGTTTTTTTGAATGTCCAGAGGACCAGATTTAACTTTTTTAGATATTAACAATATTCAAACCAACTTTTGACTGAAAACAACTGCCCATCCCAGTTTCCTACGCCAGCTTTGAGCTGAGCGTCTTTGAACTTGGCCATTCGCCTCCGACGTTATTTGCACTCATCTATCGCCCACCTCGATCTAAGGATTTCATAAATGAGTTTTCTGACTTATTGGCTGAAATCACACCAAAATATAATCCTGTTTTCATTATTGGGGACTTTAATTTGCGCGTGTGCTGTCCTGAGAAGTCCTTGGTTAAGGACTTTTAGATTTATTGGACTCATTTCATCTAACTCAGCAGGTAAACGGTCTCACCCAAGAGCGTGGACATACAGTGGACCTTGTTTTAACACGTAATGTGACTGTTAGTAATCTTGAAATTGGTGATAATATTTTTTCAGATCACATGCCAGTCCGGTTTGAGTTCACCCTCCCCCATCTAACTCCTAAGTCATGCATTCCTGCACGTAGTAGCCGGTCCATTAACCATTTCACTTCCGCACGTTTCACAGATGTTTATAACTCTGAAATGATAATTCAGCCCCCGGTGTTTCTCACCACCACTGAGGAGCTGACATCCCAGTTCAACTCTGTCTGCTTAAAGACTCTGGATCATGTTGCGCCTGTTAAAACTAAACAATCAAAACTCAGAGCAGAACCTTGGCTGAGTGACGTCACCAAGGCTGTTAGGCAGCAATGTAGGAGGGCGGAGCGCAAGTGGAGGAAAGACAGGCTGCAGGTCTCTTTTCAAATACTTAAAGAGAGTTGGCGCCGTTATCAGAAAGCAGTGAAAGCTGCTAAATCCAAATACTTCTCTGATATAATTACCTGTGCGAAAACTTCTTACATTTCTTTTTGGAAAAAATTGCGACCACCCGAGCTCTCATTTCCCCTCCAACTCATGACCCATCCATCCCACCTCAATCTGTAGCTCTATTTGACCATTTTGAACCCATCACTCTATCTTCTCTAGAGCAAGTCATGTGCAGCTTGAAACCGTCTGGTTCCCCTTTGATGTGGTCCCCCCTCGACTACTAAAGGAGGTTTTTCCTACTCTAGGTCCATCCATTCTTACTATAGTAAACAGTAGTTTATCCACTGGCGTGGTGCCAAAATCCTTTAAACATGCTGCTGTCCAGCCTCTCCTGAAAAAAACAAACCTTGACCCCTCAGTCATATCCAACCTCCGGCCTGTCTCCAAACTCCCATTTGTTTCTAAACTACTGGAGAAAATAGTCGAGTCCCAGTTGAAGTGCTTCCTGGAGGGTCACACCATCTTAGAGCTATTCCAATCTGGCCATTCCAATCCCTGCTCGACTGCCTGGCTGACATCAGGGACTGGATGGCTTTAAACTTCTTAAGTTTCAATGAAAAGAAGTCTGAAGTCATGTTGTTCCCTCCCAATGACACGATCACAAACCACTGCATCGACCTCTCCGCTCTAACCCTGTCAGAAAAACAAAGAGTCACTAATCTGGGAGTGATAATGGACCCTTCCCTGAAACTTAACAATCATGTAAACATGATTGTTAAATCATGTTTATTCCAACTGAGGCGGCTGTCTAAACTGAAGCCCATATTGTCCAAAAATAACCTGGAGACAGTAATACATGCATTCATTACATCTAGGCTTGATTACTGCAATTCACTCCTGTTTGGTATCAGTCAGACCTCCATAGCACGACTACAACTTGTCCAGAATGCAGCAGCCTGATTTTAAACCAGTACAGGCAAAAGAGAGCACATTACACCAGTTTTTGGCCTCACTGCACTGGTTACCAGTTCACTTTTTAATCCAGTTCAAAATATTCATGTATGTCTACAAATCACTGAACAGTTACCCCCCCCCCCATCTCTCTGATCTGCTACAACCGTATGTCCCACCACGTTCCCTGAGGTCAGCGGACCAGTTGCTCCTCACAGTTCCAGGAACTCGTCTTAAGCACAGAGGTGACAGGTTTTTAAGTAAAAACATTAATGTGGTACTTCTACTTTTACTAGAGAACATTTGTGTTTATTTATTTGTACTTTTACTTGAGTACAGTGTTTGAGTACTTTCTCCACCACTGTCTGCAGCCACTTCTTCAGCTCGTCCTCTATCCCTCATCCTCAGCAGGGAGCTGCATGACTATATTGTCCTGTTTGAGCTCTGACAGGTGGTGTTCCTATATGTTGAAATTAAATCCACAATGCTCAGAGAAACTACATTAGTTTGAATTGTTCACACATAAACAAACACCGGTTCTGGTCCGTGCCGGAAGTTGTGCCCATAATTCACATAAGGCACCATGGGGGCTAAGAATAAGGTGGATATGTTTCTATCTGAGCTGCTGTCTCTCTCCATCCATCCATCCATCCATCCATCCATCCATCCATCCATCCATCATCTATGTATGTATGCATGCACACAGCAGTTTCTGTGCACTCAAGCTTACATCAGAGTTGAACCTCAGTTGGCAGACATTACAGGAAATAACCTGCTTTTTTTTAGGTACCAAGGTAACACCAAAGGTGTGATTGATGACAGCCTTCTGTATTGGATCCATCTGTTTGAGACACACAAAGGTCAGTGGTCAGATGTTGCACATAGTTGTTTGAACACAGATATCAAGTTTAACCTGTGCTAAAATAGCCTGTACATGTTGTTGTTGCTGCATAAAGATTTATGTACCGTGTTGAAGTTTGGGAAGAGCCCGACTGGTGACATTGTCTCTACAGGAAGGGGCAAGTATTGTTTCACCATATCTGAAGAACTAGTGGCACTAATGGGTCCTGGCAACGTCCTGCCCACTGCACCACTTCTACTTCCTGGGAACAGAAACGCATTTCAACATGTTACCATGTATCTATAGGCTGTGAATGAAATACTGCAACAACATGAAAAAGAAAAGTGCAAGAGGTTATAAATTTTAATCAAAGTCAGTTTTATTTTAAATACTGTATATTAAAAAAAAAAGTTTTTTATTGTTTTACTTTAGACGATAAGGAAACACCATTACCACAAACTGGGAGTGTCAATGAAAGTTCCAAGAGAATTGTTGTATCAGCAAGGCTTCTAATCACCAGTTCAGACTGAAGCATAACCAAGAAACAACCAAAACATCAAAGTTCATGCTCAATAATCCAGGTAAACAAATCCAACAAAGTTAAGTCAGGTCTTCTGGATGGTTTATTTTTGTTGAAAGGTTTCGTCTTTCATCCAAAAGACTTCATCAGTCTTCAAAACACCACTGTGATGTTCTGAACCACTTTGGCCATGACTGCCTCAGATAAGTCGGTGGGGGAGAGGGCGGACTCCAGAAACCATCTGAGGATTATCAAACTGGTTGACCCACTTTGTGAAGGTGCTATTTATGACTGTTTGTTGTGGCTCCTCAGACTGATGGAGTCTTTGGGACGAAAGATAAAATGTTTCAACAAAAAGGAACCGTCCAGAGGACCTGACTGAACTTAGTTGGATTTTTACTTGGATTATTGAGCATGAACTTTGATGTTTCCAGATATATTAAGAATCACATAAAGATTCATCTCAGAGTAAGTAGCCTCTCCAAACACCTGTAGCACCTTATCCTTGTTAGGAGTGCGCGGGGAACCCAGATGTTATGAGACCCAGAACGAG